TTTCCTGAGATGCTGTTTTTGAAAGTAAAACTTGCATAACTTTTACATACGACAACCAATTGGTCTCCGATTTTGCATAAGCATGCCTTTAGTGGTGCTAAGTTAAACTGTAGGAATGGGAGGGGGGGGGGCACATGTTCTACCCTTCATAGTATTCTAATAAAAGATCTCATCGAAATAAATTAGTTTGTATAAACTATAACTTTCCCGTGCGACTCTTTTTCGAGATCAGTGAGCGACGGGGCCTGAGGGAGGGGGTAAAAATTAATTTTATCTCTCATTGTATTCTAATTAAAGGTCTCAACGAAAGGAACCGTTTTCTACCAACTACTGCCCTTCTTTCTGTCCTCTTATCAAAGTACGGGATGGAGTGGGGGGGAGTGGAACTACTTTTATTCTTCATGGTACTCTAAAGGTCTCAACGAAAGGAATTAATTTCTACCAACCATAGCCCTCCTCCTCGATCTCTTATCGTGATCGGGTATATTCCCTTATACCTCAAGAACGGATTGTCGGAAGAGGGTACTCACAAAAGGCGATTGAGACGTCTGCAAGAAACATAACCATTGGTTATGTCAAAACAAAAGCTATTTCGGTAAAAATAATGCGCTTTATCTGCACAAGAGTTGTGCACAATTTATACTTGTTTCATGTTCTACTCTTTTTCTGTCATCGTTTACCTTTTCCGTTTCTTATTCTTGCGCTTCCTTTTTTTACACTTCTACATCTTGTCAAATCTTCTTCTACCTCTTCAATTCTTCTTTTTGATTTTTCTCCTTCTACTCTTCACTTTTTTCTACTTCTCTCTCTTCTTTTATCTTTTTAGCTTTTTTTCACATTTCCTCACCTCCTCTGTTGTTTTTATTTTCGCGTTCTTCTATATAAATGTGCAAGACTCGGCAATTTCAGGCTCGTACTTCTATTTATTAAGTTTTTCTTACCAATACCTACTTTTTTTCTTTCGTTGTTAGTACATTTGCACCTAGCTCCGGTACTTTTGCTTAGGGGGAAATTAGCTCAAATTTATATGTGAAACATCAAAATCTACGCCATTATCATAGAAACGGTCCAAATCCTTTTTAATTAACAAACGCGAGCACTCATAACAAATCGCAAACAACGAAAACAAAACGCCGC